CTTTGAACATATTAAAGGATCACCATTTACACCAGAAATTCTTCCAGGTATTACTGCTGGTAATTGTGTTGTTAGTGGACCAGGTGTAGATGGAGGAGAAGATCTTGATGATTGTAATGATGCAGAATTTGTTATTACAGCTAAAGATTATAATGGAGATCCTATTAAAGAAGGAGGAGCTAAATTTGATATTAAAGTACATGATCCAAATGGAGATGATTTAGAATGTGAATGTGTTGATAACAACGATGGTACTTACAGTTGTAAATATGCACCAGAATTCCCAGGTGATTACACAGTTGACATTAAACTTAATGGTGATAAAGTTGGTAAAGCACCATATGAAGTTTGTGTTGGAGAGGGAGTTGATAATCAAAAATCAGGAGTTGATTGCTTCCAATTTACTATTCTTGCTAAAAGTAAAAGAGGAGGACCTGTTAAACCAGGTAATGCTAAATTCTCAGTTAAAATTATTCATGAAAATGGAACAGAAATTCCACAAGAAAATATTGATATCAAAAATTTGAAGGAAGCTAAATACAGAGTTACTTACAAAGTTTCAGAACATGGTGATTATACAATTCATTGCTTATTGAATAATAGAGATATTAAGGGATCACCATGGGTTCAACAATGCTAAGACAGGAAAGAAAACCTTTTCGTTAGTTTAAATTGACCGTTCATTTTTCTGTTTTGTATTATATTTTTATAATCATTGTTATATAAAACAATAACAAAAAATTGTTTAAAAATGAAATTGAACTAAATTAAAAAGAAAAAGAGAAAAAACAACCCTAAAAGTCAGAAAAGAGAAAATGAAAGAGAAAGAAAAGAAGTAAGAAGGTTTGAAAACAATAAGAATATAAGAATCACAGTTAAGATAAAATAAAGAAAAGGTTATAACGAAATTGGTATAAACCAAATTGTCGATGGTTGCAATTAAAAGAGATAATAAAGAGAGAAATACCATCCTTTTAAAAAGAAAGATAAAAATGTGAAAGAAAACACTTAAAGGGTTTTAAAGGGTTGTTAAAGAGGGTTGACTAAAAGAATTAAATTATTAGATGGAAGAAGAAAAACAAGTTGATACCACTACTGTGCAATCCAGCACACCTCCAATGTCTCCACAACATTCTCATTCAATTACCCCATCAGCATCTCCAAAAGAGAATAAAGTTTCAACACCACTTTCTCCTAATAAAGAAGATGGTAGTGTTGCAACACCAACGTCTAGAAAGAAAGAAGAAGAAACAAAACCAAAAAAAAGTCCAAATGATAGTGTTACTGTTATAGATAAAGAGATTGAACAAAACAAATGGGATAATTGGACAGTAGTATGGGTTAAACAAAAAGGATATCCATGGTGGCCAGCTAAAATTATAATAATGGATAAATTAAATGAAAAAACAAAGGGACAACTAGAGAAATTAATAGAATTTAAAAAAGATAAAAAGTATTTAGTTAAATATATTACAAATGGGTATCAATTTGGATGGGTAAATGATAATCAAATTAAACCATTTAAAGAAGAATTTATGAATATTATTACTGAAAGAATGTTAGGAAAAAAAGATGTTATTGAATCCATAAATAAAGCGATTGAAATTACAAATGATAAAATTTCAGAAAATGATATAGATAAATTCCATAAAGCTGTTATAAAAAAAGAAAAACAAATGGAAGAAGAAGAAAAGAAAAAAGAAAAAATGAGAAATTGTGATATTGGATTTATGGTTGTTAATGATCCATTGATTGAAATTACTAAAATTGAAGGAATTGTTGAAAAAAGTATTGAAAATAATAATAGTTCTCTTCAAAAATTAAAAAATTGGAAAGAAATGGATCATTCTCAAGTTATTGAAGAATTAAATACATTAATGAAAGAACCAATAATGATTCATGAAATAATTAATCCAATAAATAAAATTGGAGAATTATTAAATTCAATTTGTCAAAGTACTAATATCGAAATTTCAGTATTGGCAGAAAGAGTTTTAGAAAGAATCAAAAAAGAATTAAAATATGCAATTATATCAGGTGAATATCAACGCTGTAAAGAAATTTTTAATTAGAAACATTCATTTAAATAAAAAAAATTAAAAATTTATTTTAAAAGAAAAATAAAATAAAGAAATAATTAAAATGTCAAGAATAAAAGAATTATTGATTCTTACAACCTTGCTTCTTTGAACCTTTTTCTTTTTTAGTTTTCTTACTTAATTTAATTCCTGTTTCAGATGCATATTCTTGAACAATTGTTGAAAGAACTTTTTTAATTCCTTCTGTATCATTAATCGTTGTTTTAAAGAATAAAACTTTTGGATATTTCTCTAAGAAACTTTTAAGAAGTTCTTCATTATTATTATGTTGAATATCTATTTTATTTAAAATAATTACTGTTAACTTTACATCATCGGCATTCCACATTGGACTTTCAAAAAGAGTACGACAATAATCAACATCATCATTATCTTCATTAGCTGACATTACAAAAATTTGTATTGGTCCTGATTTATTATGAGTTTCCATTGTTACTGAGTTATCTTCAATATTTTCTGCTGCAACATCATACTAATAATATTAATTTCTCTTTTGATTTATTTATTAATTATTATTTATAATAATAACAATATTTTTATTTTTTTTTTACAAACTATTTGTAATTTTAATGTTGTTTTTCCAATTGAATAATCAACTTCTACTTTACGAGGTTCGTGATGATCATAACTTGATGGTTGTGGAATATCCTACATAATTATTATTTGTTTATTCTTTTCTTCTTAAATTATTTTTTAATTATGTAAAACTTCTTTTTATTGTCTTTTAAAAGTTAATAGTAATTTATTTACAAACACTCCATACATTTACAATTGTTGACTTACCAACTTTTTCTTTTCCCCACATAACAATACCAATTGGAATAACTTCTGTCATTTTTTTGAAATGTAATAATTTGTTAGATTTTTTATTGTTTTTTATTTTTAGATTTTTTGTTTTGATTGTGGAAGTTAGTTTTTATTAATTCTATTGCTTCTTTATTATTTTACTCTTGTATCGTTTGTTGTTCTTCTTTGTTAATTACATTATAGAAAGTTATTTTAAATTCAAAATACTACACCACAGAAATTTATTTGGTTCAAGTTTATCTTTTTAGACATAATTTCTTAAGTCAAATAATTATGAAATGTAGTAGTTTAACTTTATTTTGTAATTTGATGATGTCAAAATAAAATAACTTCATGAATATTTATATTTTAAAGAAATACTACAAACAGAAAAATCTTCATGAATAATATAATATATTAAAAATATGGAAGAATGAGATAAAATTTGAGAAACTTCAAAACATTAAACAAAAGAATATAAATAAGAATTAAGTTTATTAAAACACTAAAGAAAAATTCGAGACTAACTCAAAAACATAAGAAGGTTAAATAGATAAAGATTGTAATAAGTTTTAAGAATTTATATTAAGAATTGTTTTATCATTAGACTCACTATTAAGTCTAATACCAAAGAATTAAAACTAATTTTAAAGAGATCGTGAAAGAGCTGAATATAATATACTATATTAATATGCTTCTTAAATTTATAACGAGTGTTATAAGAAGTATGAGAGATTTTCTAATAAAAATTGAATTATAAAATAAAAATAATGTTAAAATAACTAACTAAGTAAAATCTTTCTTGACACTTCATAAACAAACCATATGTTAATAAAATTTATATAAATATACAATAACTGTTATTATTAAATACGCTTCAGTATAATTAAACTATAATCACTATTTTTTTATGAATTGGGTACTTTAAATTAACAGCATTTTTTATTTCTAAGAATTGTTTTAAATCATAAATTTAGTATTGTCATTTAAAGTCAATTATTGATAATACAACAATAATTTCTCAAATTTCATATTAAAAATGTTAATAATTGATAGATATTCAAAGAAGAAATCAGTTCATACATAACATTGCATTTTTAATTAAAATAGTCACATAATTATACTACTAGAAGAATAAAACTTTTTTGTTAAGACTGAAATAATGAGTAAGAATATTACACCTTTTTACTGATGAATTGAGTTATTTATCTAGTTTATAATGCTTTTTTAAAACAAGTGAAATAAGAGGGTCATTAGATGTATTGATTTTATCATAAAAAAGACAAAAAGAATCTCAATTTTCAAAAATTATCCTAGTACTAAGAAGAATAATCCAACTAAAGTTATATTCTTTTAATAGTATAGCAAGATTATCATTATCCTAAATACAGCTCAACCTTATAATTTTTTGGATAACAATTGTTCATATTGTTTTCTTTACAACACAAATATAGTTTAAAGGTTTTATTCTTTAAAGATATAAATTCACTACGTTAATATTAAAGTTCTGCTCAAGATGAATAATATAAGAAGATGGATATAATGGATTATTTAAAACGTGAATGTTGTCATGAAAATGTTCTAATCATTGAAATAATTCCATACAAGTCATTTATACTAATATTTATTTATATAACTTTGTTTTTTTTTTCATATTAATTAAAAAAGAAAATATCATTATAGTTAGAGTATATTTATATTGTCTATATTTCAAAAAAATTAATTTAACTAACTTGGTTAAATAAAGTTAGTTTCTCCATTGGTAATATTTAGAAATAATTTTTATTGGTAATATTCTCAGGAGAAAATAATAACCAGAAAAAAATCAAAAGTAACACAAATATTTCAAAGAGTTTAAAAAGATATGGCATTTATTGAAATGGAATTTAATAGACAAACAATAAAGACTCTTTAATGAGACGTTTTATGAAGGTATTGAAATTATCATGTTTAACAAGTATTGTTAAGGAAGAGTAAGTAAAAATTATAATCAAAAATATTTTTAAAGATAGTCTGAAAATTATTAGCAATAAAAGAAAAATAAATCTATGTTTTATTTGAAATATCAAAAGATAAGAAAATGAACCTCCTATTTTATGGAAAGAATAAACAATAATTTAAAGTAATAATAATTTAAAGTTTAAAGGACTAAAGAAAGAAGAATAATGATAGAAATAACTGTTGTTGACATTGAACCACATTGGAACATAAAACCATTTTTACAAACGTCACATTCCCATTGAGATATCTGTTCAACTGTTTCTTTACTAGTACACTTATTGTTTTGATAAACATTTTCCCACATATACCCATTTTCTTCATTGTAATTACAATAATAATTTTTACCCACATTACATTTATAACATTTACCAGTATAATATGCTCTGATTGTATTATCACGATGTGTACAATTCTCAACATCATCTACTAAGCTATGGAATCCAATATGTTTTGGTGCCTTTTTTTATCTCAACAGAACAATCTAGTGAGACTTGACAATATCTTTTTAATGCATCATCATGAATATCGAATGTTTGCTCCTCATTATTTCTGGAACATGAAGATGAGCCATCATATAATTTGATTATAACCTTATCTCCATCATGAGTAAAATAAGATGATGAGCTTTCTCCATAATAATAACATTTATCAAACTCTATTGATATAAATCCAACAGCATCACCATCTTCGTTTTTTAATTCAGTAAAAACCAATGAATCTTTAGCAAAAGTAACAACAAGGAATAGTACAAAGCGTAACATGTTCTTTTGATTTATTCTTTATCAGTTAACCCCATTAAATTCTTCTATTTTTATTTATATTATGTAACTTATTTTCAATTAATTCACTGCTCTGGTTATTTTTTTTAATCCTTCGAATACCATGTACATTCTTTTTTATGATTTATTTATATCGCTTATTAATAAAATTTGTCTCAATCCGTATTTTTTTTCTGTTTTATTCATTAACTCTTCTAATAATTTTAGTAGATTTTCAAAAAATTAATTATATTCATATAAACCTATATTTATATAGAGTATTTTAGTATCATGAGTGTTATCTAAATTATTTCTCTTACAAAATAATTATAATAAATAATGTCTATTTCAACAATTTTTATACTATTTAATCCCACATCACTCTTTCAAATTTAATCTTCTAATAAAGAGATTCTCATTATTTTAAAATTCAACTACGATTCTTAACAAATATTCAATAAGAAATAATAGTGTAAACATTGTAACCTAATTTTTTTGTGACGTCTATGGGTAAAATGTAACTTAAACCAATATTTCCTATTCATAAATATATTATAATAAAAACAGAGAGATTTTACTAAACTTCTATAATTTTCTTCTTTAAAAAATAATGTTTAATGTTTTACATCCTACTTATATATTCTCTTTATACAAACCTAGAAAGTTTATTCTTAAATAAAATATTAATATATACCCATATATCAAATAAATCTTTAAAAAAGAATAATCAATACCTTCAATTTTTTTAACTTAGTAAGTGTTTTGTCTCGTTTTATAATTGAATATTTATATTATGTTTTAAATAAATATTCTTTTAACCAGAGATAAAAATATAAAAGAATAGGAAAATGAAAATATAAAAAATTTAATGAAGCTGTTAATTCGGAATTATCATGATTGTTAAATCAATCTAAAAAAATTATTGATTTAAAATAAACCAAAAAAAACCAAATAAAAATTAAAATTAAAGTATTTTAAAATCATATTAAAACAAAAAGATAAACAATAAATTCTATTAGATTTATAATACACTTTTACGAGTTAAAATTTATTATAAATGTTTCATCAAATACTCATTCTTGAAAATATTCTAGAATTAAAAATTTATTTATAAACAATGTGTTATACCAAAACCATCTGAATAATAATGGTTTTAACAAACCAAATACAAAGGATGATTGAATTATATTAATAAATAAAGGAAATATGATATTGATGTTTGAATTAACGATATTATGAAGAATGAATTTTGAAGAGAAGAACCATTACTTGTTGGGTCAAGTAAATAACGACCACAATACCAACGAATAGAAAAAATAAAGTAATTAAAGAAAATAATCAAAGAGATAATAAAAGAAACTATATGAAATAAAAAGAATGATAAAAGCATTGATGTGAATATGGGAATGATAGACATCCCAATAACAAATAAAAAGTCACGGAAATCACAATCAATTTCAAAACCTATTTGAATTGTTAAATGAATTATTAATGCTTGAAAATTAATAAATATAAGTAAAACTAATACTAATGTACCTAAATGTTCAGGAGAAAATTGATTTGTAATTCCTTGCCATAATCCAACAAATATAACAAATGTAAATCCACTAACTAATGGTGTATATAATTCAGTAGCATATCTTTGATAAGAAGATGGTAAGAAAAATTCATTTACATCACTTTTAATACACTTTGGTTTCCATGGAGTAGGAAATAACAAAGGAAATAATACCATAATAATATGTTCAATGACTGAATGAACAGTTACATCAAAATAATATCTCCATTCATCAAACTCAATGTAATGTTTATACTTATCAGTTTGTTCATTCAAATGTCCAATATAAGCTTTACCTAGTGTTTTGATAGGATTATTCATACCTAAACTATTTATTATTAGATTATTTTAGTTTTTTTTTATTTTTCTTTTAAATCTAAATGACTTCAAAAAAAAAATTATGAAATATTAAAAAATAATTCATTCAGTGAATCTCTTTTGATAAGGTTCTGGTCCAATGAATTTAGGGAAATCAGTTTGGTCCTTTGTAGATGAGTCAATGTACTGATAATCAAATCCTTTTTCTTTATTAGCTAAATAAGAACGATCATCCCAGGTGATGTCAAAATGAATTACATCAAAGAATCCTCTGTATTTTTGATTTCTTTCGATGTAACTATAAGGCCAAATATGGAATCCACAATAATCTTCATTATTTTGTAATAAATCCATATATTCTCTTGCTGGCATAAATAAGAATTCAACATAATCAAATGGAACATCATTAGCACAAAATTCTTTTTGTTGAGTGATATCAGTTTTATTTACTCTTAACATACAGAAATTAACCAAATTAGGATTGTGAATAGATTGTGATTTATGTGTCAAGAAGAATCTTGATCCATCTAAATCTTCTTCACTACATAATTCACTTGTAAATTGATTCAAACATCTAAATTCCATTGGTCTACGATAATTCTTAGCATATTCCATCATAAACGTTTGATTGAAACATGCTGATGAATCTGGAATATTTTGTCTAACTCCTTGTTTAGTAGGTCCAACAGCCAAATTGACACATGAATCCCAATTTTGAATATTATTTGGATTTGGACATAAAATACGTTCGTCCCATTCTGAAATTTCTTGCATTATATATTTTGATGAATGAGATCCTCTATAATAATTTCTAGGTGTTGGTGGTGGGAGTTTATTTGCTTTAACATTAAATTTCTTTCTTTGCTTTTCTTCTGGGAAAATCCATTGATTAGCGTCATAATCATAAACAGCCTCTAACCATGAATTTCTTACAATAAATGCTCCTTTAGTTCCATCTTTATTAACAAAATGATCATTATATCCAACAATATTCATTGCATGTCCTCCTTCACTAGCAGCTTTTGTATCTTCAATAAAGAATTCTCCATCTGGATTCATTTCATGTTGTTCAAGATACATACATTCTTCATTATTACTATTTGGACAATTGTCTACATTCTTTACAAATGCTCTTAACATTTCATGTCCAGCAGTTGGGATAGCATATTGTCCAATGATTAATGATGAATCAAATGCAACAGGTTTATTTGTGTCAACTAATAATTTTTTAACATCATAAATATTTCTTTTAGTAGTTATACTAGTAACATTGAATTTTATTGGATTACTTGCTTGTTTCTTTTCTTTATCAACACATTCCCATTGACCTTCATTTTCTTGTGCATATGGACAAGCACTTTCTGGAATAACTTTGTCATATAAATCAGTGAATGCATATAACCATTCTACATATCCTCCTTCTGTTGAATTATTAATTCCTAGTTTGCCTGGACAAGCTTCTGGGTGTAAAGCACATTGATTTAAAACATCAATAGCATATGCTTGAGGTGATAGTCTAAGATATTCATTTTCTTTAAGAAATCCTTTTCTAATACCATTATCTCTATATGATTGTTCCAAAAGACCAATGGTAGCTAATGCCCAACATGTTCCTCTATTATATTGACAATATCGTGGGAGTTGGTAAGGTGTAACAAATGATGTTGGTAATGTAGGTTGAGTTAATCCCTCATCGACATCTTGAACGGCTTTATCCATTATGTTTTGTGCAGATAGTTTATAATTATCAAGTGTGACATATCCAGAAGTAAATATAAAAATAAGTACAAATGCTTGGAAAATAATTAGTAATGCAACTAACCCCAATATACATTTTTGTAATGAGGTTGGTGCTTTTTGTTCAGCATGACCAAGAAGACCAGTTTCCATTAATCAAATTATTTAGTTCTCATGAAAATTTTCAAGATGAGATTCTTTTTCCTTTCTCTTGGAATTTTTCTTTTCACATTCTTTTCTTTTCTTTTTTTATTCAAACCAATGAATATCATTTATCACAATAATTTTAATATATTTATCTAATTTATAGCTAATCTCCCTTTCTCAAGTATCTCTTCAATAGAATATTGACAACATTCATTTCTTCGTTTGACTTGAGACCATATTAATCCTTTTTTATGTTCACATAAACTACACTTTTCAATACAATCTTTTTTCTTCATTTCAAAGTCTGTTATTTTTCCTTTTTTCTCATAAATAATTTTGTAAATCCAAATCCATGCATCTCCATAATTTGGATCAATAAAAATGACCTTTCTAAACCATTCTTCTGCTTTTTCTTTTTTACCACTATTATAAAGAAACTCTGCAACAGCAAATACAACATTGGCATAATCAACATCTTTGTCTCTTCCTTCAAAAGCTCTTAATGCATCAGAACAAGTAGTTTTCTTTTTATTAATTGGAGATGTTTGGATAATTTCTTTCCATAATTTTCCATTAGATTTGCATACTTTTATTCCCTCTGATAAATATGAATCTGAAACTTTTTTGTTTCCATTTTCTCTTTCAAAATGAATTAAGGAAATCCACAAGTCTTGACTCGTAGGATTTTTGTTCTTTCCTCTCTCATAAATTGTTCTGGCTTTGCTAACAGAGAAAGATCCAGGTTGATGAAGTTCACATTGAGCAGCTGCATCCCATAACTTTACAGATGTTTCATTTAATTTTAAAGCATTTTCATAGATTTTTCTTGCGTTAATAAAATTTTGTTTTCTTATTTCTCTTTTTATCTTAAATAAGATTAATCCAACATTTTGAGGATCAATAGAATCACCAGAAAGAATCATTTCATTTTCTTTTTCTTCATCTTTTAATGACAAAGCAATTTTAATTCCTTTTTTAATAAGTCTTATAGACTTACAAATTTTTATTCCTTGTTGAACATAATTAAATGCTTCTAATAAATGATTTTGATTTAGTTCTAGATCAATTATTCCAAGCCATACACTCTCACCTCCTTTGCCTTTATTAATTATCTTTTGTAATAAAGACTGTGCAATAGAAGGTGTTCTTTTCATACACCATTCAACAAATTTTTTCCATATTTCTTCACTGTCAATTACATCAATAGCATGTTGAAATACAACTTCAATTTCTTTTTCATCAT